AGGTGGGACTGGAGCAGTGCTCTGTCTAGGGTCAATAATTTCTCACTTACGAGGCAAGACCTTTCAGTACACTTTGTACAACACCGCGAATCATGAGATTTTTCAATCTCACTGGTAGGAACACACTCTATTCCCAGCTCTGTGAATGCAGGTATTATTTACTCTAATCCTTCCAGATGGCTCTTTCCTCAGCTTTAGGTAGTTTTCTCACAAGAAAGTCCTGACTAGTACTCCACTGAATATTCCAGAGAGGTACTCTCTGTAGTTCTCCAGAGCTTTCTTTCTTTCTTTCTTTTTTTGAGATGGAGCTCACTGTGTTGCCTAGGCTAGAGTGCAATGGTGCTCTCTTGGCTCACTGCTGCAACCTCCACCTCCCAGGTTCAAGCAATTCTCCTGCCTCAGCCTCCTGAGTAGCTAGGATTACGGGCCACCACGCCCAGCTAATTTTTGTATTTTTAGTAGAGACAGAGTTTCACCATGTTAGCCAGGCTGGTCTCAAACTCCTGACCTCTGGTGATTCACCTGCCTTGGTCTCTCAAAGTGTTAGGATTACAGGAGCGAGCCACCATGCCAGGCCCCAGAGCTCTCTTTCTTTGAGATGCTGTCCTCTTCACTGTTCTGCCCTGCGAACTCTAGCTACCTTGTTCTCCCTGAACTCTTAGCTCCAGTTCTTCAGCTCAGAGGGTTTATTGTGCTCTCCTTGGGCTGCCTGAAAACCCTCCCAAGGCAGTAAACTGGGGCACTCCTAGGCTTACCTGATTTATTTCATGTCTCTTTGGGCTCACTGGTAACTTAGCTGCCTGATGATAGAGTCTTAAAAACCGTTGTTTCATATATTGCATCCATTTTTTGGTTACTTCCAGTGGGAGAATAAATATGGTCTCTGTTACTTCATCCTGTTCGAAACGATATTTATTTATGTACCCTGGGTTCCATCCTTGTGTATAGATTGAGATGGATATCTATTGTATTTTTATTCCACCAAAATTAGTTAACCCACAATTAATTAGTGAACATTTTCTTCCCTGATGGCTTTTAATTTTTAATTTTTATTTTTTTGAGACGGAATCGCACTCTGTCACCCAGGCTGGACTGCAGTGGCGTGATCTCAGCTCACTGCAAACTCCACCTCCTGGATTCAAGCAATTCTACAGCCTCAACCTCCCCAGTAGCTGGGATTACAGGTGCCCGTCACCATGCCAGCCTAATTTTTGTACTTTTAGTAGAGATATGTTTTCACCATGTTGGCGAGGCTGGTTTTGAACTCCTGACCTCAGGTGATCCACCCACCCCAGCCTCCCAAAGTGCTGGGATTACAGGCGTGAGCCATGGCGCCTGGCCCTGATGGTTTTTTTATACTTCTTAGTGCTATATTAAATACTCACATATATTGGAGTCCATTCCTGGATTAGCTATTTGGTCCTGGGGATCTATTTGCCAGTTTTTACCCTAGAACTATACTCTTTTACCTTCAGCTGCTTTGCCACATATTTTTAATATCTGATAATGCTAATATACCCTTATATTTTTCCATTAAATGTTCCTCTGAGAATTTTTAAAACAGATTCTAGTATACTTATCCTTTCATATATATTTTGGAATTATTTTGTCAAATTTAAAAAAAATCTGGGATTTTTTAAAAATCAGAATTAAATATGTAAATTAACTTGGGGTTGGCAAATAGACATTTTATATATTAGTTTTCCTACCCAAAAGTATAATACAACAGTCCATTTAATATAACAATCCATCTTCTCCACTCGCTCAAATCTTTTGTTTTAATTTTCCATAAGGTTTCATAGTTTTATTCATGAAGATCTTCTTGTAAGTTTAATTTACTCTCAGGTACTCTGTGTGTGTGTGTGTGGTGTGTGTGTGTGTGTGTTTTGCTAGTGGAAATTGGCTCTTTTTCTGGTCAGCCTGTTTTCCTCCAGTTGTAGCTAAATGTTGATTGCACATGTATATATTGTGTATCTGTGTGTGTATACTTGCACTGCCTAGTTTCCTATCCATACTAATGCCAGCTGTTTATAGAATGAAATTCTTGGCTTTTCTAGGTAAATAATCATGTAACTAGGAAATACTGATATTTTTGTCTCTTTCTTCCAACAACCCACATAAAACTAGACTGTCTTACTGGGTCTTGAAACCAGCCACAGCATAGAATTTCATTACGAGAAATAGTGGTCGGATGTGCTGGCTCACACTTGTAATTCTAGTACTTTGGGAGGCCAAGGCAGGTGGATCACTTGAGGTCAGGAGTTTGAGACCAGCCTGGCCAACATGGTGAAACCCTGTCTTTACCAAAAACACAAAAATTAGCCCGGCATGGTGGTGGGTGCCTGTAATCCCAGCTATTCGGGAGGCTGAGGCAGGAGAATCTCTTGAACCCAGGAGGCAGAGGTTGCAGTGAGCCGAGATCGCACCACTGCACTCCAGCCTGGGGGACAAGAGCAAAACTTCATCTCAAAAAAATGAAAAGGAAAAGGAAATACTAGTGACTCTCACATAGAACTAAACCTAAATTGAAATTTTCATAAAAGTCTTTCAAGAATACCTAAGGAAGAATCCAAACATAAAGCAAAAATCTTTTTTTCTCTGTATTTCCTATCAATCCGGTATGTAATATTATCTACACAGGGAGCTGCCCTTCTCTCCAACTTTCTCCCAAAACTCTTCTGTCCCAAATTTCCCTTCAAAACCATCTCACATAGAACCAGATCCTCCTATCCCTTACGTCCCCCAAAAGAACTATCCTGGATAATTTTTGCTATCATATTTATATGATAAACATGCTGCTATTTGTATTTTTATGATAAATATGCTGGTTTCATCTGCTGGCTTTCCCAGTTCTCTACTTCACCATTGCTCTAATCAATAAAAAGTGTCCCCAGTGGCAAATAGACAATAGAAGCTAACTTAGAATGTGGGGTGGATGAGAGAAGACAGGGATTCAGGCTACCCACATCTAAATTCAATATATTTATTAAACGACTTTGAATGGTTCTCATTAGCCAAGAATATCTAACATTGTTAAGTCCTGTGGCTCTCTAAACAGCCTTTGAAGCCTTTGTTTGTTTGTTTGTTTGTTTGTTTTTGAGATGGAGTCGCCCAGGCTGGAGTGCAATGGTGCCATCTCACCTCGCACAACCTCTGCCTCCCAGGTTCCAGCGATTCTCCTGCCTCAGCCTCCCGCAGAGCCGAAATTACAGACATGCGCGACCACGACTGGCTGATTTGTATTTTTAGTAGAGGCGGGGTTTCACCATGCTGGTCAGGCTGGTCTCGGACTCCCGACCTCAGGTGATCCACCTGCCTCAGCCTCCCAAAGTGCTGGGGTTATGGGCGTGAGCCACTGCCTTCGGCCTGAAGGCATTATTTTTACGGCATTTTTTGTCATATGGAAGCTTTCATGAACCAATTTTTAGATAATTGTGTATCATTTTTCCATTTTTAAAAACGTGAAAACTGCTGCTTCCGCAAGGCAACTGAAGACACCGCTGAATGCCCTGTGGGGTCAGGAGAATGCTTTGGTGCCACCTGCCGGTTTCCGAAGATGTTTCAGGAACTTGCTCCGGTTGATTTCCATTTTTTTTTTTTTTTAAACTCCTAGCTCTCTCCCAGCGCATTTCAAAACAACCAGAAAAGAAATTATATTTTTTTTTGTAGCAAGAGCGCTAGTGCTCAAGCTTATAAAAATGCAAATAAATTTGTCTGGGATGCAATATGAAGAAACATTCATACTTCTCAATCATCTAACTAGTCAAATTTTTTTTAGCACTTGACCGAAATGTAGATTTCATATGTTGACTTTACATTGCTACTTACATACAGCCTATTTATTTTCTCGTTAATAAGATATATTTTCTTTCTTTTTTTATTTTTATATTTTGAGACAGGTTCTCCCAGTGTTGCCCAGGCTGGAGTTCAGTAGTGCCGTCCCAGCTCACTGCGACCTCTACCTCCCAGGCTCAATTGATCCTCCCATTTTTCAGCCTCCCGGGTAGATGCATACCACCAAGGCCGGCTAATTTTTGTGCTCTTTGTAGAGCTGGAGTTTCGCCATGTTGCTCAGACTGGTCTTGAACTCCTAGGCTCAGGCGATCTGCCAGTTTGGGCCTCTCAACGTGCTGGGTTTACAAGGGTAAGCCATCAAGCCAAGCAACAGATATATTTTCAAGTGGATGATATCCCATCAGTTGTGACATATGATGTAAATACTAATACTAAAACATTGAAGTTTCTGAACATTTTACCTTTATTATAGTTAGAATAATTCTAAGTTATTCCTATAATAATGCTACACTTATTCACTTGCATTCTGATACACGTTTCTTGAACGGGAAGGAGATACAGGTACAGCTTATGCACATTTACATTCAATCATTCAGTTAGTCAATAAATATGTATTGTTATCCACATCCCAGGTACTTTTTTGGTAATTAGGAGTAAACATGAGGAAGTCGTCAACATCAGCCTTAGATAAGGGTAAGATCCTGATCTCTGTGTACCACAAATCATACAAAAAAAATTTGCTTAAAAATGTGGGAACCTGTCTTTCAAAACCCGCCATTTAGCACTACTGTAGCATGACCTGTAAACCTAAACATAGACGGACAGGCGCCAGCGCCAGGGTTTGAACCCAAACCACGTGACTTCACAACCCGTAGCTTTCAGCACTAGGCGATGCTGCTGGCATCTTGCAAAGGCTGGATAAGTATACACTGAATGAATGATTCCGGCTACGGATTCTTAAAGCCCACAAAAGGCCCATCCAGAGACCGAAAGCCTCATACATAAGCCACAGCGCAGACGGCTGCACCCGAGCTGCGGAGCGTTAAGAAACTCAAGACTTGAGCCCTAGATCAGCGGGCTTAGGGGCGGGCTTAGGGGCGGGCTTTTGCCTCAAGAGGCGGAGCTGTCTCGTGTTATTCCGCGCAAGTTTGAACCTCTTCACTTGCCGTAGTGTCGCAGCCGGAAGAGGCTTTACAGCATGCTTTAGGTTTCCGGAAGAGGGTTGGACTCTTATACCATGTGGGAGCTGCTGTGAAGAGTTGCTGCATTCCAAGGTGTACCCAAATTCCCAATTCCGGGTAAGGAGGCGCACAGAGCCGCTTGATGTGGCTGCGGATGGGGGCGGCATATCGAGGAAGGGTAAGAGTTTTCCGGATATCTACCGAATAAGGGTTGAAGGAAAGCCTTGGCGCGGTGGCCGGTACTGTAATTAGTTCTTAGCGCTGTTGCTGTCGTGTTTGCATCTCCGGGATCCACAGATCTCAGGACAGCCGCGTCGTGTGTCCATGACGGCGCCGAGTGCAGAGGAAAATTGTTTGTATGTGACGCGCCTTACAGTTTCGTAGAGACTTCTCAAAGTGCTTATGTTTTTTTAGCCCCTGTCATTAAAACTCCGTTGGCGTGAAAGATGACGTCCTTAGCCCAGCAGCTCCAACGACTTGCCCTCCCTCAAAGTGATCCCAGCCTCTTCTCTAGAGATGAAGTTGCCTCTTTGTTGTTTGACCCTAAGGAAGCGGCCACCATCGACAGGGACACCGCCTTTGCCATTGGTGAGCCGTCTTTTAGCTGTGCTTGAAATGTTTATGAGGAGTGGTATCTGGATCTCACAGATGAAGAAACAAGGTTAGAGGGGTCAACTAATAAATCAAAAAGAGAACAGCTAAAAGGGGATAGAAGCAGTGACTTGGGTAACGGAGGAGTCCTCTCAGAGGACTGGCATAGTTATTGTTGAGGATATCAAAAAAAAAAAAAAAAAAAAAAAAAAAAAGCAGTGTTTCTTGCCACGAAGTACTTTCTGTTCTGGTAGATGAGATAAGACTTACTTTATATGTTTGAAAACTAGAAAGCAGTGTTTGAGACTGTATTACAAATTGTACATAAAGAATTCAGAGACTTTTTAGAGTAAGTAAAACTGCAAAAGAGGGGTGGGATGAGTTTACTTGAAAAGATTCATTAACTAAACTGGCTTTTTTTTTGAAATTTAGGATGCACTGGCCTGGAAGAATTGCTTGGAATTGATCCTTCCTTTGAGCAGTTTGAAGCACCGTTGTTCAGTCAGCTAGCAAAAACCTTGGAGCGAAGCGTTCAGACCAAAGCAGTAAACAAACAGTTGGATGAAAACATTTCATTATTCCTTATTCACTTGTCACCTTACTTTCTGCTTAAGCCAGCGCAGAAGTGTCTGGAGTGGTTGATTCACAGGTAGTTAATAGAATTACAGATATAACTATGGGCTAATCACTTTGGTCTTTTAAAAAATTAAGTAGTTGAGAACACTTATCAACTTAAAGCTGAAAAATTGGTATATATTAAGAGATTAAGACAACATCCATTGTGTGAGATAAGCATGCTCTTCTGTCTTTAAATTCTTTTTATTTGATAATGAAAAGTAGAACTACTGATGATTTTGAGTAAATGGTCTAATCTCATTAGTTCTTTTTTTTTTCTTTTGAGATGGAGTCTTGCTCTGTTGCCCAGGCTGGAGTACAGAGTACAGTGGTGAAATCTTGGCTCACTGCAGCCTCTGCCTCCCGGGTTCAAGCAATTCTCCTGCCTCAGCCTCCTGAGTGGCTGGGATTACAGGCACTTGACATAGTGCCTGGCTAAGTTTTGTATTTTTGTAGAGACAGGGTTTCATTGTGTTAGCCAGGCTGGTCTTGAACCCCTGATCACCTGAGGTGGTCCACCTGCCTCAGCCTCCCAAAGTGCTGGGATTACAGTCGTAAGCTACTGCGCCGGGCCTAAGCTCATTAGTTATTTGGCAAGAAGGAAGCTTAATACCCATCGCCCCAAGTGTGCAGGAACAAGCTGTAATGGTAAAGTGACAGCTTGTTCCTGCACACTTGGGGCGATGGGTATTAAGCTTCTTTCTTGCCAAAATAACAAAATGGTTGGGGAAGCAGGCAATATTACCTTCTGAAATACCATTACTTGAGAAAAACAATGATAGCTAATGTGTATTGAGCATATATACACCAGGTCCTGGTTAGCACTTTACCTGCATTATCTCATTTAATCCTCGAAGCATTCATCTGGTGAGATTACTTGTATTATCTCTGTTTTACAGTTGAGAAAACTGAGGCTTAGAGGGGTTAAGTTGCTTGAGTTACACAGCTAGTAAGTGGCAAAGCTAGGATACAACTGGCTTATTTCCAAGGTCTGATCTTTTATCTGCTTTGGGAATTGTCTCAGCAGTTTACTCAGTTTATTTTCTCACATATTGGTATCACATCGCAGCATACACATTTTTGTTTAGTTTATTCTCTACATGTCTTTTTTTTTTTTTTGAGATGGAGTCTTGCACTGTCTCCTGGGCTGGAGTGCAGTGGTTCGATCTCTCCTCATGCAACCTCTGCCTACCAGGTTTAAGTGATTCTCTTGCCTTAGCCTCCCAAGTAGCTAAGATTACAAGCACCTGCCACCATGCCCAGCTAATTTTTTTGTATTTATTTTTTTTAGTAGAGACCGGGTTTCACCATGTTGGCCAGGCTGATTTCAAACTTCTGACCTCATGATCCACCCGCCTCAGCCTCCCAAAGTGCTGGGATTACAGGCGTGAGCCACTGTGCCCAGCTGCCCAGCCGTCTTTTCTTTCTTTCTTTTCTTTTCTTTTTCTTTCTTTCTTTTTTTTTTTTTTTTTTTTTTTTGAGAGTCAAGATTTTACTCTGTCACCTAGGCTGGGTGCAGTGGTGTGATCATGGCTCACTTGACCTCCAGGGCTCAAATGATCCTTGGATCTCAGCCTCCCAAGTAGCAGAGATTACAGGGATTACCACCATGCCCTGCTAGTTGTTGTTGTTGTTATTATTATTATTATTATTTTGTAGAGACAGTGTCTCTGTTGCCCAGGCTAGTCTGGAACTCCTGGCCTCAAGCAATCCTTCTGTCTCATCAGCCTGCCAAAGTGCTGGGGTTATAGGCATGAGCTGCCACACCAAATCCAATTTACATGTTTTATTTTATTATTTATTTATTTATTTTTGAGACAAGAGTTTCTCTCTTGTTGCCCTAGCTGGAGTGCAATGGCAGGATCTTGGCTCCCCGCAACCTTTGCCTCCAGGGTTCAAGCTATTTTCCTCCCTCAGCCTCCAGAGTAGCTGGGATTACAGGCATGCGCCACCAGGCCTGGCTAATTTTGTTTTTTTAGTAGAGACAGGGTTTCTGCATGTTGGTCAGGCTGGTCTCAGACTTCTGACCTCAGGTGATCCACCCCCACCTTGGCCTCCAAAGTACTGGGATCACAGGCATGAGCCACCTCGCCCGGCCTACATGTTTTAAAAGTAGATTTCTATCCCATTAATTGGAGACATGGCTTCAAGACTAGCCTGGCCAACATGGTAAAACCCTGTCTCTACCAAAAATACAAAAATTAGCAGGGCACTGCGGTGAGCACCTGTAATTCCAGCTACTTGGGAGGCTGAAGCAGGAGAATCCCTTGAACCCGGGAAGCGGATTTTGCAGTGAACTGAGATTGCGCCACTGAACTCCAACTGGAGTGACAGGGAGACTCTGTATCAAACAAAAAACAAAAAATGGAGATATGGAGATAAACTAATTTTTTAAAGAAATAAATGAGTCACCAAGAAAACATCATTTTTAACTTGGATCTTCTGATTGTCAGAACATTAGGGCAATCAGACAAAAAAGAATATTTCAAAGTCTGTAATATTGCCATCTGTTTTCTAGCATCTAGTTTTACCCCCAAGTAGATCTTCATGTAAGCAATACTTATTAAATTTGGTTTTTCATTTATTTCTTCAGAAGACTTACTTATTTATTCAACATATACTAAGTTCAGTACACAGATAAGTAGGTTCCGCTTGATTACTGTTTTGAAATAAATGCTGTAATAAAGAATTAAGCGTAGTTTTGTGGATATAGTTCTGCCTGGAATAGTTGAAGAAAGCTTCCTGGAAAAAGTAACAGCTTGGATGGTACTAAAATCATATGTGAAACTAATAGGCTGGGTTCAGTGGCTCACGCCTGTAATCCCAACACTTTGGGAGGCCAAAGTGGGCAGATCACTTCAGATTGGGGGTTCGAGACCAGGCTGACCAGCATGGTGAAACTCTGTCTCTACTAGGAATACCAAAAAAAATTAGCCAGGCGTGGTGGCCACTTGGGAGGTTGGGGCATGAGAATCATTTCAACTTGGGAGATGAAGGTTGCTGCGAGCTGAGATCACACCACTGCACTCCCGTCTGGGTGACCGAGTAGACTCCATCTCAAAAAAAAAAAAAGAAAAAAACTAATAAAAGGCAATGTATGATACTGTTTTTAAAAAAAAAGTACATGTAGACCAGGCATGGTGGCTCATGCCTGTAATCCCAACACTGGGAGGCCGAGGTGAATGGATCACCTGAGGTCGGGAGTTCAAGACCAGTCTGACCAACATGGAAAAACCCCATCTCTACTGAAAAAACAGAATTAGCTGGGTGTAGTGGCACATGCCTGCAATCCCAGCTACAGGAGGATCGCTTGAATCCAGGAGGTGGAGGTAGCAGTAAGCTGAGATCACACTGTTAACTCCAGCCTGGGCAAGAAGAGTGAAACTCCTATCTCAAGAAAAAAAAGTCCATATAAAAGAATAGAGTTTATACAGAAGAGAGATCAGTTGGTAGAGAGAATTAGAAAAAGCATCTTGGCCAGGTGCAGTGGCTCATGCCTGTAATCCGAGCACTTTGGGAGGCTGAGGTAGGTGTATTGCCCGAGCTCAGGAGTTCGAGGCTAACCTGGCCAACATGGTAAAACTCTATTAAAATAAAAAAAAATTAGCTGGGCATGGTGGTGTGTGCCTGTGGTCCCAGCTATTTGGGAGGCTGAGGCAGGAGAATCACTTGAACCCAGGAGATGGAGGTTGCAGTGAGCCAAGATTGTGCCACTGTACTCTAGCCTGGGCAACAGTGAGACTCCCTCTCAAAAAAAAAAAAAAAAAGGTTAAGAGACCAGACTGGGCAACATAGGAAGACCTAGTCTCTACATAGAAATAAAACGTTAGCCAGCCGTAGTGGTGCTCACCTGTGGTCCCAGATACTCAGGAGGCCTAGGTGGGAGGATCAGTTGAGCCTGGGAGGTCGAGGCTGCTGTGAGCCATGATTGTGCCACTGCAGTCCAGCCTGGGTGGCAGAGCAAGACCCTATTTCAAAAAAATAAAAATTTTAAAACTGAGAGAAAGTGAATGGGGTGTATATTTTGATTTTGAATATTTAAAGATATTGGATAGGAATTGGCAGGCCCATGTTGAGGCATGTGTGAATGGAAAATTGAGGACTTTTAAAATGTTCTATATCTTGCTTATAATTATGTGATTTTTTTACTGCTACTCGTTTTAGGTTGTTTTAGCTCATTAATACACAGCTTGGGCATATGAGGAAATAGGTGCTTTTTATTGTTTTGTGTCCAGTTGAACTATTTGCTTTTTTCCCCCAGGTTCCATATACATCTTTATAATCAAGATAGCCTCATTGCTTGTGTTCTGCCATACCATGAGACAAGAATATTTGTGCGAGTCATACAGCTGCTAAAAATTAATAATTCAAAGCACAAATGGTTCTGGCTGTTGCCAGTTAAGGTATGATTGCTGAATGACACATGTCTGTAAGCATTACAAATCTTGATTAAGGGATTTAATTAGGAAAAAATGAGCCAGCGCTCCTGGGAATGGTCCAGTTATTACCTCCATCATTTTTATTTCCTAACTTGCCAGTGAAACTATTATTAATGTTAATAATATTTAGCTTTTATTTAGTATCTGACATCAGGCTAGGCAATGTGTATTATATTGTCTTGGATTAACCCAAAACTTTGTTTTCACAGATGAGGACAGGCTACTTGCCAAAGTTCGCATAACTATTAAGTGGCAGAGTTGAGATTTGAACCCCAGTCTGATTCCAGACCCTGTGTCTTTCTGTTGTACCATGCTGTTTGGCATTTTAAATTTTGGAACTGAGAGCTTAAAAAAAAAGTTGGAGGTGAAGAAAGGCGGAAAATAATTATAAAAATTAAAAGGATAAGGATAACTTCAGGGCTTAAGAATTAAAGTTGTGAGGAAGATGCTAGAAATTAATTTACAGATGAATATAAGTATACTTGTATAACAGGAAGGGTCTGGGTGAGATCAAACAGCATGCTATTGTACGGGAAACCAGCTGACTAACTATCAGCACTTTGGCAACATGTGGTAGAGCAAAGTAGATGTAGTTAGCAGGAACTTTACCGCATGTTGAGTGTGGTGATCCAGGTTAGGAGGGGAGGCAAATGGGAATGAAAGTAGGCTAACAGATCATGGGGCTGTGCACCTTTGGGTGATGATGGTAGTGAGGTTAGTGTTCAGAATTAGCAAGACAGGAGTAATGAGGACTTTTTAACTGGAAGGAGAATTTAAGAATCTGAATGTAAAGCACTTGAACTGAAGAACATTAGAGAAGGTCAGGCTTTGATAAAGCTGTCAAGCTGCTCTTCCCAACATTCACTCTGCTCATAGCCTCAAAATTATTCTTCCTGTGATCTACCCTTGGACCTTGCAGCTCCCTAGACCCTCTTATTCCAGGAATTCAAACTCCACTCACCTACTAAAGTTCACTTAAAATTCTCCTTTCATTTATTTGGTCAATATTTATTGAGCATCTGTTACATACCATGTATAATGCTGGATGGTGAGAATGGTGGTATAAGTTGCCCAGGTTCCTAGTTCATTTCTGTTCTTAGAATTATTTGAAAGCAATAACAGAAGCATATCATATTGGCTCAGAAACCAAATAGAACCAGTAAAATTTCTAAGAATCTAGAGAAACAGATTTTGATAAGTACCTTTCAAAATGTGCCATATAATAAGAAACATTTTTCACGAACTACTTCTGCCCTCATTGCAAACCTTCTCTTGAATTTCTAAGTTCCCATGATTTTGTGTGTTAATTTCATCACCATCACCAGTTACAAGGAGAGATTATGTTTTTAATTTATGAACTATAGCAGTATGAAGAGATTACTGGGGTAAATACTTTAAGGATTAGTTGATGGATGTTGCTAATAGTTTGTTCTTTTTGTTAATAATAGCAATCCGGAGTGCCCTTAGCTAAAGGAACTTTGATTACCCACTGCTACAAAGACCTTGGATTCATGGATTTCATTTGTAGCTTGGTGACAAAATCTGTGAAGGTGAGCAGTATGTTGTTTCATGAGTATATAATTTTATGAAAAGATTGCTTGCTTTGTATGAAGAAAACACACTAAAGCCTTCCCTAATAAGAGTGGTCCTTTGGATAATTTTATTTTGTTAAATGGTCTGGTGTTTTGAAGCGGGAACAGTTTGAGAATCAGTTTTTTTTGTTTGTTTGTTTTGTTTTGTTTTTTTTCCAAAGGTGTTTTTCTACAAAAATAAATGCCTGTTCCTTGCCAAATTCTAGTTACAGTGACTATTTGAAGAGACTGTCTAGAAATGTCAGGAATACTCAACCTGGGAAAGCTGTTCAAAAAATTTTAAGGCTGGATGCAGTGGCTCATGCCTGTAATCCCAGCACTTTTGGAGAAGCTGAGGCAGGCGGATCACTTGAGGTTGGGAGTTCGAGACAATCCTGACTAACATGCTGAAACGCCATCTCTACTAAAAATATGAAAATAAGCTGGGCATGGTGGCATGTGCTTGTAATCCCAGCTACTCGGGAGGCAGAGGCAGGAGAATAGCTTGAACCTGGGAGGGGGAGGTTGCAGTGAGCCGAGATCAGGTCACTATACTGTAGCCTGGGTGACAGAGCGAGACTGTCTCAAAAAAAAATTGTTTTTTAATTAATATGTTAGGAATATTATTAGTTCATTCTTGTCACATTGCGAATGTATTAAGCATTTCATATGGTAGTTCAGGAGAGCTGTAAATATTTATTTGGCCTTTCACTTTGCTTTTTTTTTTGGAGACATGGTCTTGCTCCGTCGCCCAGGCTAGAGTACAGTGGTGCCATCATGGTTCACTGAAGTCTCAGCCTCAAGCAGTCCTCTCCCTTTCACTGTTCCATGTGTGTGTTTGTGTTCCTTGTTTCAGGTTTTTGCTGAGTACCCGGGCAGCTCAGCTCAGTTGAGGGTGCTCTTGGCTTTCTATGCTTCCACCATTGTGTCGGCGCTGGTAGCTGCGGAAGACGTATCAGACAATATCATCGCCAAATTATTTCCCTATATCCAAAAGGTTGGCACGGCTGATGTGTTAAGTAGATTATTTTGTACTTAAAGGAATTTTCTTGCTCTTGAACTTTTTTTTAGATTTAAGCATTTTTAAATTGACAATGTATTTCAGGTGATTGATGAAATTTAACTTTTAGGTTGAAAATATGACACTTTTTTATTAGAAACTAACCAGAGTGGGACCTTAATTAGGATTCTTAAAAATAAATATTAGCTGTCTGGCCCTGCCACCATCTCCTAGATTGATTTTCGTCGCCGTCTTTGTTCCTTACTGGAAGGAGGATGGAGTAGACTGTCTTTGGGGCAGAAGCAGGCTCTCAGCATTCTTTGTGCACTGGCTCCTACATCTCAGTGTTTTTCTTTCCTGAGTGTCCTGTTGCCTGATGCCTTCCCAGGTGCCCCATGGAGATACTGCTTTTACTTCCCACCGTCGTCTCAACTTGTCTTTCATCAGACCTTTTTCTTCCATCAGTGATCTGATTGGGGTCTCCCTTCCATTAGTAGATTTTTACGAATAAAAGAAGAGCTTACTGGCTCCTGTTAAGACACATGGTAGATATTTTGAGTTGGAAAATTTTCTGAGATCCTTTGTCTCATCCAACAGACTTATCTCATCTCTTTATCCACTCTGAAAAAGGGGTCAACTCCTTTATTGTTTATGTCTGAAGAGTGGTTGACTATGTATTAGGTTGTAGTAATCTCTAATTTATGACTTTTCTAATTTGTCAGATTAACATTTTAAGTAGAAGAAAATAATATGGTTTATCATTTTTCCTTATATTTAAAAAATATTTAGGGATTGAAATCATCTTTACCAGATTACAGAGCTGCAACATATATGATAATATGTCAGATTTCTGTGAAAGTGACAATGGAAGATACCTTTGTGAATTCATTGGCATCACAGATCATCAAAACATTAACCAAGATTCCCTCTTTGATCAAGGATGGATTAAGTTGCTTGATAGTACTCCTGCAGAGACAGAAGCCAGAGAGCCTTGGGAAAAAGTATGTACAATTGAATTGAGGAATGGTGCTAGTTAGAAGTGAATAAAATTATTTTGAATAATTATTTTTGTAAGATAAGTGATTATATATTTTTTTAAATATTGTCACTCATTGTCTGACTTGTAAAGTCAACATGTATGTACTTTTGCTTCTTCAAAGGCCATTCCTTCATTTATGTAATGTTCCTGATCTTATTACAATACTTCATGGGATTTCTGAAACTTACGATGTCAGTCCTCTTCTGCGTTACATGCTTCCCCATCTGGTTGTCTCCATCATTCATCACGTTACAGGTTTGTGGTTTTACATTTTTTGTCCAGAATCGTTCTAAGATTTGATCTTAAGATAGTAACCGTATCCTGGTTAACAGCTTTAAAATATTGGAAATTTCTGTTTTCCAGTTGTTTTTGTGTAACTTGTGTATTAAGTGAGAAACATTTGGGGTGGGGAGCAGGTTGGTTGAAGAGAGATCCTTTTTAATTGAGTGGTTTCTTAGAACAAGTTCTTAAATAGTCGTTACATGAAAAAGACTAGAATAATTTTAAAATTTTTTACCGAGTAAACCTTTGCCTTCTCATTTAGGAATTTAATGAACTTTAGTGATTCATTTGCAATAAATATCCAGTTGCCAAAAAAGTTTTTCTCCCTAGAGTAATTAAAAATATAAGAACAAGAAAATTTTTATGCATAAAAATCCAAATTATGAAACAAAGCAAAAAATAATAATTAGAGGGCTAGTTGGCTCAAACATGTAATCCTAGCACTTTCAGAAACTGAGACGGGCAGATCACTTGAGCTCAGGAGTTCAAGACCAGCTAGGCAACATGGCAAAACGCTGTCTCTACAAAACTATACAAAAATTAACCCGGCATGGTGACATGCACCCATGGTCCCAGCTGCTCAGGAGACTGAGGTGGGAGGATCATCTGAGCCCAGGGAGTTCGAGGCTACAGTGAGCTGTGTTTGCCCCACTGCATTTCAGCCTGGGTGACAGAATGAGTCCGTATCTCATCATCATCATCATCATAATTAGAATGATTGCTGGCGTTACGTCTTTTAATAAATACAAAAAGACTAGGAAGAAACACTTGGTTCTATTCCTACTTGGAGAACACTAAGAAAGACTTCTCTAAACTGTCAGCCTGCTGGAAAATGAGGTTTTCATAACCAAATATTGGTTTAAACATACATTTTAGAAAAATGACTAGCATAAATGAAATGTTTTCTTCCTATTCTAAAGGTAATGAGTGATGTTCCAGTGTTTGAAAGCAAGAGCTAACATCAGATTCTTATGTTTATTATAAATCTGAAATGGATGCCAGCTCTTGGTACAGTAAAGGGGTAGGTACTGAGATGAAAGTTTAGCCTGTTTTCAGAGATAGCTGATTGGGACTATCACAACCAATTTGTAATATGAACTGGTGAAAGACTAATTTTGGACTTTTGTTTTATTATTGTTATAAGAATGATAATACTTGTTAAAAATAGAGAATTCAGTTGAAAAACAAATTAAGGTGATCTATACAAAAAAGCTGTGAAAAATATAAGTGAAATGCACTTCTGGAAATAGATAAAAAGCTGGATATCAGTGTGCGTGCTTTATTCTAAGAAAGATTTTCTGCTATAAATGAAATTTAATAATGTTAGCTTGCAAAATAAATTTTTCCCAACACAATTTTAATTTTTTCCCTATTAAGGAGAAGAAACTGAAGGGATAGATAGTCAAATCTACAAGAACCACTTAGAAGCTATACTTACAAAAATATCACTGAATAACAACTTAGACCATTTGTTGGCTAGGTAAGCTATTATCTTTGATGTGCTTTTGATTTACATTTCTGCGACTCAGTGTAATTTTCAAGATTGGTTAGAAATTTCTCGCTGTTCCTTTTTAATGTATATCTTGCTTTGTCTGTATCATTTCATTAACTATAAGTACTTAATCCAATAACTGGTAGCCTTAAAAGCAAAACTAATTGTTTTTGCATATCTTTAGTGCTTATAGATGAAAATGGAAAGTTAATGGTTAAGCTAAATTTGGGTAATAACTAAACGCAGTTTGGCTGTTTGAAGTTTTCTATTAGTAAACAGACCATAATATTTGAAGTAGTGTATCACAGTCAAAACGCTGTAAATGTCATTTAGAAACTTAATATTGAAGGAGGCATAGAGTAAGGTTTAGTTCTTTTTTTTAATCTTGTTTTTTTTTTGAGATGGAGTCTTGCTCTGTCGCCAGGGTGGAGTGCGGTGGCACGATCTTGGCTCACTGCAACCTCTGCCTCCCAGATTCAAGCGATTCTCCTGCCTCAGCCTCCCGAGTAGCTGGAATTACAGGGGTGCCAACACCACGCCCAGCTAAGTTTTGTATTTTTAGTAGAGACGGGGTTTCAGCATTTTGGCCAGGATGGTCTCTAGCTCCTGACCTCAGGTGTTCCACCCACCTCGGCCTCCCAAAGTGCTGAGATTACAGGCATGAGCCACCATACCTGGCTGGAATATTTCTTTACTGTAAAAATAATTCAGTTTTTTTTTCCTAATGGGCAACTTGATGCGGTGAAAAGAATGCAGGCATTGCAGGCAGACATAGGTGTAAATTCTGCCCTCACCACTTCCAAGTGTATAGTAAGTTCTGGAGGTTAGACTGGATGTGGCCTTGCCAGTTTGTAGCATCAAGAGGGTACCTGTCTATTGGTGTGCTTCATTCATGCCCCTTTGCTCAGAGGTTTGGTTTGTGGATTAAAGGAGAGTAGACACATGAAGTAATGTTGAGAACATAGGCTCTAGTATCAGACTGGGGCTTAAAATGTGAAACCCCATTCTTCATGGCATAAAAGGGCTCACTGAGTGTTGGTTCTCACAAGCAAATTGGAAGACTTTTTATACCCTAGTTTCTTTTCCTTTTTTTTTTTTTTTTTTTTTTTTTTTTTTTTTTTNTTTTTTTTTAACATTTTTAAATAGCAGTGTGGTCTTGCTGTGTTCTCCAGACAGGTCTTGAACTCCTCACCTCAAGCAGTCCTCCCACCCCGGCCTCCAAAAGTGCTGGGATTGTAATGCCAGTGGTGTGAACCACTATACTAGGCCCCTATTTCTTTATCTGTAAAATAAGTATTATACTATACCTTGTATAAGTAGACAATTAGAGATAATATTTCTAAAGCACTTAGAATATAGTAGGTACTCAATAAATAGCAACTCTTATATGTGCTGATATTTCTGGGTTTTTTTTTTTTTTTTTTTACAGCCTTCTATTTGAAGAGTATATTTCATATAATTCACAGGAAGAAATGGATTCGGATAAAGTATCTTTGCTTAATGAACAGTTTCTTCCACTCATTAGGCTTTTAGAAAGCAAGTAAGTTACGTATGTATGTTTATCCTCTTCCAAAGTACTTCCTATTCTATAAAGATATGAGTCACAAGTCACATCTTCATATACTGAATTGTATAGAGACTGTCCTTTTTAAATTTCTTCTTCAAGAAGGGGCCAGTATCATAATCAAAAATATTTGAAATGTAAGAGGAAATAGTGGTTGTGTGGGGGCTATGGAGAGTATAATTTTTTAGCGAGAGACTATTTTGTTATTGGAGTAGTCAGAGTAACAAAGTTGACCAATGACATTAGGTTTTACATATAACGTTTATTAAAATTTAAGTCACATTGTCAGTAATTTTTAAAATGTTATATCTTTATAGACATACGGTTTATGAGATTAATATTAAGAATAATGAATTCACTCTTTAATTGCTTCCAGATACCCCAGAACATTAGATGTTGTGTTAGAGGAACACCTAAAGGAAATTGCAGACCTGAAAAAACAAGAGCTTTTTCACCAGTTTGTTTCCCTTTCTACAAGTGGAGGAAAATATCAGGTATGTTGTTCTCCAAAGGAACGATGACAGTTTGGGGTACATTTGTATGGTTATGTGAAGAGCTTCAGAAGGAAATTTGCCACTTCTTTCTTTTATGTGGAAAATTTCACAGAGATGACCTTATACAGTTTGCCTAGTTGCCTGAAGTACGTCTCTGAGGCAGGAATAGAATAATTGGAGAAAGGTACAATAATTTGTACATAACTATGAATGTGATACTTATTTCAGGAAAAGTATTATTTGGGTATTTTGTATGGGATATTCATTAAGAATTATCAAAGGACAGCCTCACGTAGGTTTCTGGTGTTCTCCGTCTTTTCCTTAGGTCCATGCTTTCCTGTGTACCAGCCACATAGGGCTATCTATATTATTGATTAGCAAGGGGGAGATTGGTTCTATTTCATGACCATGTTAAAACTTCAGAAATTTTCTGGTGATTCAAACATAAAGCTTTATATAGAGGTTAGACATTTAAGCAGAAGTTCTTGTAATTAGCCTTAAAAACAGATAATTATGAAGAGAAATATGATTGCTTTAGTATTTCTTTTCCATAATTAGACTTTGATTTTTAATAGTGGTGCTTTTCCAAATCTTAGGTTGATAGACTTGCTTTTTAGTCAAATTGTGTAAGTGAACTAAGTTGTCACTAATTTGAATGTCAGTGTTTGTTACATCTTTTAGATGAGTTGCATTCTGTCTTCCAGGAGGTGTTAAAACAGTGATTCATCTTAGGTACTCTTTACTTTGGAATCAGATGTGCATAAAAAATACAGAATTACTTTGTAGAATTACTTTACTAAATTAAACCTACACATAGGCACAAGTATTCATCTACTGCAATTCATATAATGTTCTAGAAACAAATATTTTGCCTTTTTTTGTTTCTGTGGTGAGAAGGTTTTTACTGAAACGTTGGACAATTTGGGGTGGCTATCTCTGGGTTTTGTTCTTGATTATAGACTGTTCAGATTAAGTGAAATCATTTGATAATTATGTTGAATGAACCCTATAGTTTTTAGCAGATTCGGATACTTCTTTGATGCTCAGTCTGAATCATCCACTTGTTCCTGTGAGACTTCTGGCCATTAATCATTTGAAGAATATCATGAAAACATCAAAGGTTTGTTTTGGATAGCTTTCATGTATGATTTTTTTTTCTTATGATGAGGAGTGTAGTTCTGAGTAAGAAATTAAAGTTACTACCTAGAATTGTTAGTGTATAATTATATAGATGAGCTGTATAAAGCTCATGAGATTACTTTAGACTAATATTTAGGACTGCATATGCCTGTAGTCCCCATTTTAACAGTAACCGAATAACAATGGCTGTTATGTTTCCACATTGAAAATTATTTATCTTTAGTGTTTTTCAAACTGGAAATTGTAGATTAATTCACATAGGTTCATTAATTATCTGTGAATTCTTTTAGTTTTGAAATTGGATTTTGGGCTCATCACAGCAGCTCATGCCTGTAATCCCAGTACTTTCGGAGAAGTATCACTTGAGCCCAAAAGTTTGAGACCAGCCTGAGCAACATAGGGGGACCCCCTTCTCTATAAAAAATTTAAAAAAGGAAAACTTAGCCTAGTTTGGTGGTACACGCTTGTGGTCCCAGCTACTTGAGAGGCTGAGGTAGGAGGATCTCTTGGGCCTGGGAGGTTGAGGGTGCAGCAAGCCGTGATCACGCCGCTGCTCTCCAACCTGGGTGACAGGGCAAGACCCTGTTTCAAAAATAAATAAATAAATACATAAATAAAATTTGATTTTGATAGTCTTAATTTTGGGACATTTGAATGACAACTTTTGAACACTTCCATGATTTTGGTGCCTGCAGTTTCAGTTGTCTTTAAAATTTTAGTGGCTTCAAATAAGTATTGAGGCTGATTTTATTTGTAAATAATTTGGTGTAATTTGCATCTATACCAAAAGGCATTGGTATGAAGATTTGACAATAATTCAAATAGAATAGTAGTTTCCAAATTTTAGTCACTCAAGCAGTACCTGTACAATTTTTGGTAAATTATAAATTACCACTGATAGTATTATTTTCTCAAAATTTTTCTTCGTTTCAGATAGACTCATTATTTTTTTACATAGCCTTCAGATTGTGGTTGTGAAGTGCTAATTGTATATATATTTTACTGTAGTTACTATAATTAAAATAGGAATGCTCCATCTGTGTAATACCAGGATTTGCATATTTGAGAAATTTCTGGAATAGAGAAAAGTGGTAACAGAGTTTAGTTTCCTTGCAGCACATGGCAGTATAAAAACATGTCAAACTCTAAAACTTGTGTCGTCGCAATTAGAACCAGATTCATATTACAAGTAAATTCATATGATCAGTAAAATTTAATTTCAGCTAATTACCATTAATCACACTAAATTCGTCTTCATTTGAATTTTATTGGTTTTATAGAGTTTGTAGTATTTCCCTTGTAGGTTAAAAAAATTTGTTTTTATATTATATATTTGTTTTTATATTTTATATTTGTTTCTATATTTTAAGGAGTTATATTTAATTTTGAATTCGTATATAAACAAACAATTTAAATAACATTTAGATCTTTGAGAATATTTCTTTAAAAGTGGCCGATGTAATATTCAGGTTTGAGAAATGTTGCTTTATTTGATCTGGTGTGAGTTCTGCGTTCATAAACTGCCAGTAGGTTTATTTTGTTGATGTGTTAAATAAATTCATTGAATAATACTCTTCATTGTGATAGGAAGATTTCAGTGAGAGGAAATTATTCTAGAATAAAAGGGAGCCCTGGACTCTTCTGTTTCTGAAGCTGTTCTCATCCTTTTGCTCTTACTGCCTTTCTCACTTGTTGTCTGGGTTTGGTTAGTGTTTCAGTGAAGGGCCCTGTATATGTTCAGCTTACAGGATTGAGTATTGTAATTGTCGTTCATGCCTTCCTTTGTCTACCAGGTTTCATTTTCTCTTCTCTATCGATGACAAGTCATAGGTTTTATTCTAAATTCCAGGTTCAGATATCTAGCTACTTACAGCTCTTGAGGATTTTTTTAAATGATGGTGTCTTGCTGTGTTATCCAGGCTGACCTCAAGCTCCTGGGCGTAAGCAGTCCTCCCACCTCAGCCTCTAGAGTAGCTGGGATTATAGGCGCCTACCACTGTGCCTAACTAACTAAATTTTTGTGAATTCTAAGAATTTTCATTTTTCTCCCAATAGAGTGACCTATATTTTTTATATTATTTAGTTGCTTTTTTTCCTGCCACATAGGGATAGGGATATATTCATGTTGATTAGCAGTCTTATTTTTCCTTTTCTGTGAATGAATGTATACTCTTTAATTTGTTATATTTAAAAAATGACCTCTAGTTTTGGCAGACTGGCTTTGTAGTACATATCCTTATCCCTTGCAAAATTTAGATAATACTAGCTAGCTTTTTTTTTTAATAGTACTTATGTGTAAAGCACTGTGCTACAGACTGACATGTATTTTTTAATCTTCTAACAACCCTTTGAGGGTAGGTGTTATTATTAGCAAAGCTGTTTTATAGGTGAGAATAGTGAGATCCAGAAAGGTTAAGTAACTTGACCAAAGTCACACAGCTAATAAGTGGTAGAGCTGGGATTTAAATGAGAGACATTCTTGTTCTTTAGTCTATGCACTGTCAATATCTGGGCTCTCACTTTAATAAGATGAACTCCTTAATTGCAAAAACTCTATTTGGAGTATACATATTTACTATATTTTCAGTGAAAACTTGAAAAAGCTTTGTACCAATTATTAATCTCAAAAGGCCCTTTAGAGATTATCTAGTTCTAGTGTATTTGAATTCTCATCCAGAGCAGAGCCTGTGTTAGACTGTTATTCTGGAGTGTTTTTCACACAACCATGCTTCCTTTCTACTGCAAAGCCTTAAGAGGTTTTTTAGCAACAGATAAATTAATTTTTCTTTTTATTGTTTAGGAGGGTGTTGATGAGTCTTTCATAAAAGAAGCTGTTTTAGCCCGATTAGGTGATGATAATATAGATGTTGTTTTGGCGGCAATAAGTGCTTTTGAGGTAAGTGAATTTGTCATTCGTTGAGCTATACAATTTTATAAATTTTCTTGCCCTTCTCACTTGATTCTCTGCTTGAGATTAGAATATTTTTGGAAATTTCCATGGGAAATTTGTTCTCTTGAGAGTAAAGACTTAAGTGTAGTTAGGAGGAACTCATAGGAATTTACAATTTGATATATTAAGTATATGCATTTAACACAGGAAAAATGCTTTGTGACTTTTTGTATTGCTTTTAACATATTTTTATCAATAGCAAATACCTTGGAACCAATGAAAATTATCTTATGAATGCCACTTTTGAGAAATAGATCTTAAAACTTCTAAGTTGTGCTAGGATTCTTGGGAGAAGTTCCTTATAATTCATTCTTTTTAAAATTTGCGTTTAAAAAGCACCATACATGTTTGAAGCAAGTACAAGTCTACTCATGGATACTTTTTTCCCTTTAGATTTTCAAAGAACACTTCAGTTCAGAAGTGACGATTTCAAATCTTCTGAATCTCTTTCAAAGAGCAGAACTTTCAAAGAATAGAGAATGGTATGTATTCATTTCTTCTCCTATTTTGAATTGATGAAGTTCTTGTGTCAAATTCTTTCTGGTCACATGATCCTTTTGTTGTGGTAGAAGAACAGATCTTAATGTAATACTCTTTCATTATATAGTTAATTAATTTGAATGTGTGTGTGTTCATTATACTATTCTCTATGTTTGGAATTTCCCTTAATAAAGTGCAAAAGGAAGTATATAATATATGATACTGAATTCTGGGAAGTAAGATGGGAAGTACTTTCTAATTTTCTACTTTATATAATTTAATATAATTTTTACTTTATAATTAAAAACAAACACCAATATATTAAACAAATTAAAAAATAAATTCAGAGACACATGATTCCATCTGTGGTAAGTATTTAATAAGCTCTAGCTGTTTCCTTTTTGGCATCAAAGCTTTTTGCAAGTAAAAGCAGGTAAGCTCCATAGAGGATGAGAGTGTGTCTTTCATGTTTTTGTATCCATCATATAGGTAGATATATATCATGTAGGTTGTGCTTGGTTCATTTTTTTTAATCTAATTCCTGAGTGAATCTGATTTCCAGTGGAGTTGAGATAGCTAGTGTGATATGTTTTATGTTATGGTTAACCTCTAGTGATTTCTCTAAGAATTTTTTTTTTTTTTAAGATTAGACAGGATGAGCAGATTAAAAGTATTTTTGGCCAGGCAGCATGGATCATGCCTATGATCCCAGCACTTGTACAAAAAAATAATAAATGTATTGTCACAGATAACTCTGTTATTGTCATGGATTTTAAGTGGTATCTCAGTGTGTCTGAATAATATTTTTGATCAGAAGACCAGGATATTGTCAGCTAAGCTGTAATAGTGTGATGATTCATTTGTGTCTTTCAACTAAATGTGCTTGCCTGTCTTTTAGGTACGAGGTACTTAAGATAGCAGCTGACATATTAATTAAAGAAGAGATACTGAGTGAAAATTATCAGTTGTCAAATCAGGTGGTTACACATTTATTACCATTTATGGTCATCAATAATGATGATATGGAATCTGCCGAGATGAAAATTGCTATATATTTATCAAAATCAGGAATCTGCTCCCTGCACCCTCTATTAAGAGGCTGGGAAGAAGGTAAGAAATTTGGTTGTTTTTAGAAAAAGTGAACAGATAACATGAAAGAAACCAAAAAAAATGTAAAATTTATTGTTTGTCCTGTTATATGCCAGTAAGGTCTTTTAAAATTTTTACCAAAATAAAAAATATACAATGAAAAGGAAGCCAACTCACTGATAGACAGATTCAGAATTGGATACAAGGAAAAATAAAAAGCAAACCTTCATAAACAGTTGTAAAATGTTTGCCTGAATTCTTCATATGATTCTTTGAGTGTTGGTGACATAAAAGCTCTCGGTATTCAATTTTGCTTTACAGCTCTCGAAAATGTGATTAGAAACAGAAAGCCAGGAAAACTAATTGGTGTAGCGAATCAGAAGATGATTGAGTTATTGGCTGATAATATAAATTCAGGAGATCCGTCTTCAATGTTAAATGTGGTAAGTATGCCGTGAAAGTACTCCCCTGGATTTCTTTCTCATACTCTTATAAATTCTCAGCATTTGCTTCACTAGATTTTTCTTTTAAAAAAATTTTTTTTCATTCTTGAGTACTTGGTTTTACTTTAAACATTACAGTGTTGTTTAATATATTTTGTGCAATATTTGACATCTTTAACATTTTATATATTTTTTCAATGTGGATCCATATCACAGCCATAAGAATAATATACCCTTTTTACCGCCATTTTCTCCCATTCCCATTTAAGATATTAGTCTTAGTTTTTTTTCTTGTTAAAATAGCAAAATACAATCCAAAAGAGGAGAAAATTATTTTTGCCTTACTAAATAAACGTTTGTAAAGGTATTAGATGTGTGCTTTAAATACATTAACCAGTTGGCAAGTGCAAATATGTTCATTACAATTTCTGAAGCTATTCTTATAATTACTTAGAAATCAGTGCTTAATACTTTATAAAGGCTTTATAGGTGTCGTCTCACTTTAAGTATAAAACACATCATACCTAGATAGACCTGAGTTGAAAAAATTGTTTTATGAAAATGAAGAGCAACAGTAATAGAGTGTGTTTATTTTTCCAGGTGGAGGATTTAATAAGCATGGGTGACAAGGAGTCCTTTAACCTGAAGCAGAAAGTGACATGTCACGTGATCATGTCTGTGCTCGTCTCTTGCTGTTCATCTTTGAAGGAAACCCACTTTCCATTTGCGATAAGAGTCTTCAGTTTGTTGCAGAAAAAAATAAAGAAACTTGAAAGTGTCATTACTGCAGTGGTAAGAAAAGCAGAGTCTCCAGAAAGTGGGATGTTGAATAAAGCAACAGCCTGGCCTGTTAGTCACAGCAAAACGGAAAGTCAGAGGCGAGATGTTGAGTCTGTGGCTACTAGCTGGATGAAATGTGAAGCAGTCCTGGGTAGCAGTGGGATAGTCAATTAGGCACTCCCTTGCTTTTTACAGAAAATTTAGTTGAATTATAAAATTTCAAGGTTGCAGTATTTTGTATCTAATGCCTGACTCCTTCTTGTTATCTTTATTGGATAATTAGCCAAGCTACACCTACCTACCTGTAGTGATGAAGAATTCACTTGATGTGTTAGTGCTTGAACAAAATACTATTTCATTCAATTGTTTACTAAAAATAGATCTTTTCAGCTTTATAAAATTTTAATATTACATAGATTTGTATCCCTCCATCATACTACTGTCATTGATAGTATTACTAGGGACTTGTTTCAGCTGTTTGCATTTTTACTTCATGATACATCTTGAGGTAGCAAGACTATTTTTTTAATATCTGCTATATGTAATAGGATTTTGTTTTTATTTGTCCCCGAAATTTTAGAGGGCTTCTCATTATAGGATTCACTAAATGAATTATATCTTTTTCTTTTTCTTTTTTTTTTTTTTTTTT